CCAGCCCTCTCCGCATGCACCTCCGCACCTTTGTATTTACTTCAGCACCGCACCTCCTCTGAGTCTCGGTATGCTTTTCTCTTTCCTTCTAGTTGTAGAAATTCCACTCAGCCAGCCTTCCTGTGGTTCTGGATGATGTCCGTTATGTCTTTTAGTTGTATTTTTGAAGTGGTTGTGCGAGGCAGCAATCTCCGGTGTTTACCTATGCCGCCATCTTGGTTTCTCCTACCTTGGTTTCTTGAGGTTTCAGTCTGAGTTAGCACAAATGAATGTTTTGTTAAAATTCTGGCTCTTGTTTCTGTGCTAGAGATAAGAATAGGAAACCTTTTAAAAACATTGGTATTAACTAGAGTTCATATTTTATTCATATTTCCTTAGTGTTTACCTAATCTCTTTTCTTTTTGAGCATTCCAACCAGGATACCAGCTTATATTTAGTTATGTTTCCTTCAGCTTCTCTGCTTGAGAATTTCTCACACTTTGTTTTTCATGACTTCAGTAGTTTTGAGGAGTAATGGTCAGGTATTTTTGTAGAATCTTCCTCATTTGCGATTTGTCTGATTTTTTTCTTATCATTAGACTGGGTTTATGTTTTTTTGTTTGTTAGAAAAGACCACAGAAGTAAAGTGCAATTCTCATCATATCATATCAAGGATAAACACTGTCACCATGACTGACCACACTACATGTTAGCTTTGATCTCCTGGCTAATGTAGTATTTGTCAGGTTTCTCCACTATAAAGTTACTTAAAACAAAAACCCGAACTCCCTTTCCATGCTCTTTGAAAGGAACTCATTTTTCACTCCCAGTTCACACTTCATGGTGGGAGTTCAGCTCCATCTCGAGAGTAGAATAAGCGTAAGTTATTTGGAATTCTTCTGCACATGGGATTTGCCTACTATCTGCCCTTTTAAGTAATATCAATATGGACTCATGAACCTGTTATACTTTGGATTGTAATACAGTAACACTTTATTTTGTTGTTCTGATTATTCCAGCTTTTAAAATCTTGTCTTTTTAAAGCTATACATTTCCTTCCTCCCTGCTTTTTTTCTTCCTTCCTCCTTCCTCCTTTCTCTCCCCTTCCCACTTTTGGCCTTCTACTTGTTGAAGAAACTGGATCAATTGTCCTACAGGATATGCCACCTTTTGGATTTAACAGGGCCATCTCCGTCTCCATCTCCTTCAGGCGTAATTACAGTACATTGTTGTACTTGTTCCTCACTGCCCCCTCCTCCTTTTCTTACATATTGTAGTAACAGCTCGAAGCTTGAGTTGATTTAGGTTTAATTGGGTGGAAGAATACTTCATAGGTAATGCTGTTGCAGTGTATCCCATTAGCACATCTGGTTGTCCTCTTCGTGATGCCAAGGTTAATCAGCAGTGTCATTCTGTCTCATCTGTTTTATGAAGTCCAATCAACCTTCCCACTAATAGTTTTAGCAGCCCTTGACCATCATTACCTGCATCTATTTCTTCATTAATGTAATGAAAATAATAGTTTTGAATTTTATCACTTTTTGCAATTATTAATTTCAAATTATTTCCCACTCATCAGGAATTTAGTTACTTGTTCACATAAAGGATAGAGAATATGCTTGATTCTTTCCCTATTTTATGAAAAAAATAAAAATGAGTTGGTTCCTAGCACCTTTCAAAGATGACCAATGAGGTATGTGTGTATAACTATCAATATAAACTTAAATTTTCTTTTTTTTTTAATATATTTTATTGATTCTTTACAGAGAGGAAGGGAGAGAGATAGAGAGTTAGAAACATTGATGAGAGAGAAACATCAATCAGCTGCCTCCTGCACATCTCCACTGGGGATGTGCCTGCAACCAAGGTACATGCCCTTGACCGGAATCGAACCTGGGACCTTTCAGTCCGCAGGCCGACGCTCTATCCACTGAGCCAAACCGGTTTTGGCTAAACTTAAATTTTCAAAAATACTTTATGTACTTCAAATCATTGCAGTTATCCTTATTGTTGCTCAATATCTTTGGCAAGTGGCAGCCCTGTTGGATTGCCTCCTGAATTCTTTTGACTCAATTCCAGTAGTCTTGGAGGTCTTCCTTGCTTTCTGGCACAAGAAGCTCCGTACTCATTTTATACATGTCCTGCTCCAAACTTGGGATCAACTATTTCCCCCTTGACTTCAGGTTCCTTCTAGTCAGAAATAGTACTGGTATTAAGAGACCATAATTTAGGCACTAGGGTCGCTCAGTTACTAGACATTTCTGTGGACTTAGGGAAATATATATATTTTAGAAAGACACATGAATGTTCATTCTGATATTTCCAATGCAAATGCAAGATCAAGGGGTATTCACTTCTTTGATTTTACATATGCATCTCTTTTTATTTACATTAAAAATCACAGTTTCCAGTAACAGCAAAACTATTTATCTGCTTTAGTCTTAATATATAATTTATTTATAAAGTTTATTGATTTTAGAGAGAGGAAGGGAGAGAGAAACCTCAATTTGTTGTTCCACTTATTTATGTATTCACTGGTTACTTCTTGTATGTGCCCTGACTGGGGATTGAACCTGTAACCTTAGTCTATCTGGACGATGCTCTAACCAACTGAGCTACCCAGCCAGGGCTATGTAATTTCAAAGTAAGATAATGTAGGGTCTCAAAATTTTACGTCATGTATTTTTTTCAAAGTAAAAATACCAATATTATAACAAACAATAAAAGCTATTGAATTCAGTTTAAAATTTCAGCTCTCTCTGCTTCCTGCCGCTGCGTCGGCAAGATGGGGGAGCCGAGCTAGCTCGAATAAAGACTCATGCTTTTGCATCGGAAAAAAAAAAATAAATAAAAATAAAATTTCATTGCTGCTCTTTTTCTGTTAGAATCTATATATCACTGGAAACATCATCTAAAACTGCTGTTTTAACGTCACCTGAAATACTTCTTATTGGAAACAATTGTGCCACCAACTTGATACATAATTAGAGTCATTTATTTAAGTTTGTTTTGAATTTTTAGGGATTTCTTTTTCTCATTTTAAAAAAATTATCACGTTTCCACAGTGAAAAGTATGAAACAGGAGCATTTGAGATCTTGCTTCCCGGCAATTGTTTTGGTTCAAATAAACTCATAAAAATGCAAAAGGAAAAAGTATGAAACAGGGTACATTTAGAGATGTCTGGCTTCCATACTTCTCCTTTCTACCTTATTGTCTCTTGGTGTGAATTATTTAAAAGCAAGTTGCAGCCATGATTGGTTTTTCTCAGTGGATAGAGTGTCAGCTTGAGGACTGAAGGGTTCCAGGTTCAATTCTGGTCAAGGGCAAAAGCCTGGATTTCGGGCTCCATCCCCAGTGGGGGGCGTGCAGGAGGCAGCCAATTAATGATTCTCTCTCATCATTGATATTTCTCTCTCTCTCTCCCTCTCCCTTCCTCCTGAAATCAATAAAAAATATTTTTTAAAAATAAAGTTGCTGCCCTGACCAGTTTGGCTCAGTGGATAGAGCGTCGGCCTGCGGACTGAAGGGTCCCGGGTTCGATTCTGGTCAAGGGCAGGTACCTTGGTTGTGGGCACATCCCCAGTGAGGGGTGTGCAGGAGGCAGCTGATTGATGTTTCTCTCTCATTGATGTTTCTAACTCTCTATCCCTCTCCCTTCCTCTCTGTAAAAAAATCAATAAAATATATTAAAAAAAAATAAAGTTGCAGATATTACCCTTAATACCTCAACACATACCCTGTAAGAACATTCTCCCATAAAACCACAATACCATTAGCCCACCAAAGAATTTTTTAAAAAAATCCTAACCCGAGGATATGTTCCTATTGAAAAAGAGAAACTAGGGCATGAGAGAGAAACATCAACTGGTTGCCTCCCATACATGTCCCAACTGGGGATGGAACCCGCAACCTAGCCAAGTGCTCTGATCAGGGAAATGAACCCACAACCTTTTGGTGTATGGAATGATGCTCCAACCAACTGAGCTACCTGGCCAGGGCCCACCAAATGAATTTAACCAAGATACAATATTCTCCAATATACAAATTTCTCCAGTTGTCCCAAAAATGTACTTCAAAAGGTTTGTTTTTTTTTTAAATCCTCACCTGAATCTTCTTTTCCCATTATTTTTAGAGACAGTGGAAGGGAGGGGAAGAGACAGAAACATCAATTGGTTGCCTCCCGGCACAAGGCCCTGGTGCCAGGGATTGAGCCTACAACTGAGGTACATGCTCTTGACCATATTCGAACCCAGGACCCTTCAGTCCGCAGGCTGACGCTCTATCCACTGAGCCAAACCAGCTAGGGCTCACAACGTTTTTAAAAATGCATGATTCAATCAAGATCCCACATTGCATTTGGCTGTCAATGGGGATAGGCTGAACCAGTCCCCACCCTAACCCATTGACCTTCTGAAGAATACTGTCTAGTTGTTTTGTACAAGGTCCTACAACTTGTATTTCACCCAGGATAGGTTCCTAACAGTGGGATTGTTTGGGCAAAAGGATAAACGCATATGTAGTTTTGCTGCAGATTTCCTCATAGGTGATGTTCCATGTTGTATGTCTGCGGATGTATTGGAGTGCTGTTTTCCCATAGTCTTGTGAACAGAGTGAAATGCCAGAATTTTGGTTTGCCTTTTTCCCAGTCTGATAGATCGGAAATGTATCAAAATGTGGCTTCAATTTGCTTTTATGATTGAGTTTGAGCATATTTTCTGAAATAGTACATTCATATATTTTGCCCATTTTCCCGTGGATTGGATTTTTTCTTTCCAGCTTTAATATTACATTCACGTGTGCACATACACCCCTCTAGGGCATAAATTGCAAAATTTGTTCCTAGTTTGTCATTTCTTTTACTTCGGTCATTTTTTATTTTGCCATGCAAAAATTTGTTTTGGTCAATATTTTTCTTTACTGCATCTGGATTTGGAATCATTTCAGAAAGTTTGCCCAATGAAAGCTAAAGTAAAACAGTTAGAAGATAAGATGTGGAGAAAAATTAAGCAGAGAGTGGGGAAGGATCCCAGGATCAGTAGGAAGGTGGGGTTTGGGAGCTCAGATAAAGGGAGGAGGGGGCACATAGGAAAGCAAATGTATAAAGATTGGGGAAGAGTAGCCAGAGATAGAATTGAGAGTGAGGGTACTCTGGAGGCCAAGAGAGGAATTGTGAGAAGGGAGGTGGGAAGCCAGGTTCAAGGTCACAAAGATGTCAAATCTGCCTAATTTATAAACTTCCTGCAACCCCAATAAACCTCCCATTTGTGTTTGTATTTCTTCTGGAGCCAAGCAAATTGGGTCTAAAGTTCATTTTATTGGGAGAAAAAATTAGCAAGAGACAGGAAAACCTTGAAAAATAAGATGATAGCCGAAACCGGTTTGGCTCAGTGGATAGAGCGTCGGCCTGCGGACTGAAGGGTCCCAGGTTCGATTCCGGTCAAGGGCATGTACCTTGGTTGCGGGCACATCCCCAGTAGGAGATGTGCAGGAGGCAGCTGATCGATGTTTCTCTCTCATCGATGTTTCTAACTCTCTATCTCTCTCCCTTCCTCTCTGTAAAAAAATCAATAAAATATATTTAAAAAAAAAAAAAGAAAAATAAGATGATAACTAGCCATTCCAGATACTAAAAGGTATTTACAAGGCTTGTATAAATAAACACCATAGAATGGCGTACACGTCAGACAATGGGCTTGGAGAGAACCCAGATACAGCTCAATCACTCATGGACATTTAGTGTATGAAAAGGTGGCATAACAAGTCACCTAAAGTTTTACTTTATAAAGTTTAGGTGGGTAATTTTACTTTATAAATTCAACTCACAGTGAAATGCAGAGACCTAAAAATGTACAGCTTGATGAGTTCTGACAAATTTATACACCTATGTAACCCTACCACTCTCATCATATACAACTGATCCTTATACAATACAGGTTTGAACTGTGGGGATTTGTTTCAATAAATGTATTTTCCTTACCATTTTCTTTTTTCTGGCATACTCTGTTAGAATATAGTATATAATACATAAAACATACAAAATACTAATTGACTCT